AATTTTCTTCTTTAATTTCTGGAAAAAAAAAAGAAAAAAAGAAAATGGTGCGCTTAAAATATCATGCTCTCTGAACACTCCAGCATATAACTGCAAAACTGGCTTCAATCTCCATGTTATGTGAAGAGCACTTGTTCTAATAACTCAAAACCTTTTGTGCATAAAACAAAACCAGAAGCGTTAAATACATGCAGATCTGGCTACAATAACAGTCACAAAAATTAGGATGGTACCTACTGAAGCTTTGTGCTATGAAGTAGACTGTTCATGCTCAGAATACTAAGACCTTCCTGGTCTGCATTACATACAACAGCAAGCCCACAATGATCACAGAGCAGAGGCTGTACCAGAATAGAGTAGGACCACTCCTCTAAAGGAAAGGCTTGTTCAATTCCATTAGAGCACAGTAAAACAGCTACTCAGGCCCTCAGCTTGATAAAAAGCAAAATGAAGCAAATACCATTTGCAACTCCCAGAGAACTTAGAAGCCTGAATTACATCTGGAATTAGAAGAGATTTTCATATCAAACTACACTGCAGTAAGATTGCAAGCTCTCCTCTCTGAAGGATGTCTTATCGACTGGGAGCCATCGCATGGGTGTAGCCTGTGCAAGAACATTCTGAGAGGCCTTTTTAAGGCACTTAGCTGCAGCATGCCATTAACTCACCATTTCTGCATCTGATTCACAGGTTATCACAGACAAGCTGTCATCTCCCTGGGAAATAAACACAAACTGTGACATTTGCTGCTCTTCAAGTAATTGCTTTTAATACATACCCAGAATGATTTGTTACTAACACAACAGAGCTCGAATACAACAAATTCCAGTGGGAAACAAGTCATCACTTTTGCAAACACAGCACGATCTGCATTCTGTGTGCTAACGATGCAAGTCACTTCTAACAAGTACCACAGAGATTAGGCACTTTGGACTGCACCATCACACAGCCTTCAGGTGTCCCATTTCCAAAGTGCAGGCACTGCATGAGCTTCTCCCAGTCACACCTGGCCAAACAGCAACTCATCCTTTTGTTCTCTTCCTCCCTTGTTCCCACCCTTGCTATGCTACGGGAACATTTAATAGACTGAAGAAGCAACGGGGCTGAAAAAGAAGGACAAACTACCGAGTCAGAGTTTGATCTTTCTTCACGCTGAGCTGACAGAACCTTCTGCTTCTCGAATGCGAGCACATCCACAGCAGAAGGAAAATTTCCACTTCCCTTTCAGATCACACACACACACACGCTGCCCTCACAAAACATTTTCAGTTGCCGCCAACTCCGTGGCGCTTCCAGCTGCAGCCCCATTCTTTGGAAAGATGCTGATCTATCTCTGTGAAAGGCGAGGAGGGGACAAAATATCTCTTAGACTCCCAGCTGATGGAAAAAGAGATGAGGCTGACAACAACAGCACAGCTAAAGCAGCTTTTTATGGTGGCTGAGAGCAGGCACGCGTGCCTCTCACACACTATGCCAGTTAGCTTTTAATTTCCCGAGGCAAGATTCCCCACAGCACAGCGAGATGTTATTTCTGTTGTTTTTAAGGCCTTTTTATCACTCCGTGCCATCTCCCTGCACAGCTGTGCCTGTTGCACCGAGAACCACACTGAGGAAGGCACTCGGCCCTTGCACAGCATTCACCCGGGCAGGAAGGTGCCACAGGAAGAGCACTCCAGTCCCTGCAAACGTTCACAGCCCAAAATAACAAGAGAACAGCTCTCAGCGAAGGGCCTCAAAGCCTCCATCGAACTGCTGGGGAGGGACAGAAAGGAGCGCTACATCCCCCACGCCACGGACCGAGGCCTCGCTCCTCCTCTAGCAACCGCAACCTCCACCTCATCGGCCTGACGGTTCTGAGGGCCCCGCGCCCAGGCTGCTCTCCACCCCTCGCTGCCCCTTCCTTACCAGCTCCCCCTCCGCGGCCATAGCAGGCCCGACCTCAGGCCTCGGAGCCCGGCTCGGGGCACTTCCGGGTTGCGGTAGCCATGGCAACGAGGCGACGCGACAACCACGCTCCGGGCCGAGCGTGCGCCTGCGCAGTGAGCTCCGGGGGTGAGGCCGCGCCCTCGCACCCGCCCGGGGCTTGGGCGGGCGGCCGTGAGGTCGTGCTGCGGGGCGCGAGTGCCACCCAGCGGCCGTGAAAGGTAGGAATGGCGGAAGGCCGGGCCGCGCTGAGCCTGGAAGGCTTAATTTGCGTTAAAAACCGCCTATCGGACGTTAGCGGCGCGCGCTAAGCGCGACCGGCTTTTGCGACACTCGCTTTACGGCCGGCGGCGGTGGTAACGAGTTGTGCTTTGGTCGTTGGGGAGCCCAACGTCGCCCCGCCGCCATGTCACCCCGGGGCCGCCGCATCATGAGCCGTGCGTGCGCCCTGCTGCTGCCCCGCGTCTGTGCAGCGCTGGCCGATCCGCAGCAGCGCGGCCCGGATGACACCTGCTTGGAAAAACTGCTCGATTGGTTCCGGGAGCTGAGGGAAGCCGGTGAGTGCGGGTTAGGGCGCCCGAGGGCTGCGCCGGGGGGGTGGGGGGGGGGTGGGGGAGCGGAGCGGGGAAGGGGGGGTGGAAATTGGGATTCAGCTAAAGGCGAGAATCACCGGTACCGCCGAGTTCCGTGAGCTGCAGCCCTGCGCGCCGCGAAGCCGCTTCCTGTCCTTGGATAATTCCCGTTCACCAGAGCCCACAGCGAAGCTGCTGCGAGACAACCCCTGTCTGACGAAGTTCTTCGCCGCCGTGCTGGCGCTGCCGGAGCCGGAGCCGAAAGTCCTGTCCTTCACGCTGCGGTTAGCTGGGATAGTCGCGGCTGCGGAGAACAGCTTCGTGCACCTGCAGGTGAGTTGTGCGCCTGCTTTCCCCTGTGCTGAGGACTCCTGGATATGTACAGATTCTGCATGTCAGCTTCTCAGTGATAACCTGCAATAAGCCTTCTCAGTTCTCACATCAAGCTGCTGTCATCTCATTGCTTGTCTTGCAGCAAGCTGTAAGTCCTCATACGTAGTAATTCTCAATTTCAGTTCAAAACATTATATAGGATATCAGTATGTCTCATCAATAGCTGCAGAATATCATATATCCCTGGACAGGTCCTTTAGATTTAAACTGCAATTACAGATGTAGTTTTCTGACCATAGTAGATTGATTTTCTGCAAAAATAAGGGAGCTTCTTAAAGTCCTGTTCTATATAGCAGACTCCATTTATAGTACAAAACTCTGGTTTGGGAAAGAGATGCGTGCAACATAAAGCAGCTTAACAGATCTAATATATATATGTAACTTTTCTGCTGCATCTTAAGAAACAAACAATAGAACCCTTACACTGCTTAGTCCATAAAAAAGAGCTATGTTGAGTTCAAGCACGAGAATCTGAAAATTCTCTATTTTAGTGTTTATTTAGAAGGTTTTACTGCAGTATTTATATTGTTGACATGCAGCTTCTCTGCTCCTCTGAAGCCCCTCTGCTTGCTCTTTATTCTGTGTGTTCTCTGCCCTCAGCGGCTGGGGCTGTTGGCCAAGCTGTTTGGTGAGGATGGGCCTCTGAAGAGAGCAGCGTGGGAAGATGCATCTGTGCGAAGTGGCTGGGTGGAGGGCGTGCACAGCATGGTGCAGCACCAGTCTGCCCTCCACTTCATCTGCAGTGGTGGTGAGTGCTTCCAGGCCTGGTAATGCCCCAAGTCCTCTCATCCATCTTGCTACGATTTTACTGATGAAAAATTAACCAGGGACTCATTTGTTTCTTGACACTTACATTTTGCAGTCTCATTTTCCTTGCATGGGTTTTTAAGTTCTCCTGCTGTTAACACCAACTTTAGATCCTCTATATAGGGAGGCCAGAAATGCTGGATTGGTACTAGCCTATGCTGCATGTGATGGAAATGAGTACTGCTGCTGCAATTCCCTTTTTTCCTTGCTGGATCTGTCTGCAGATGGTACAGACTCCTTCCATAAATATACCCTCCTAATATTACAGCCATTAGAATGAAGTCTTCTGTTCCTGAGTTACTAAGACATGTGAAGATCTGAAAAATTTTACATTCTTCTTTTTGTTTGCTTGTACCTAGGGACTGTCTGACTTTAAAAGGCAACAGAGACCACAAAAAGTTAAAAAACAAACCACATTTAAGCCTCTGTGTTGCTTGGATTGAAATAGTATACAGCTGGACTGCAGCAAGACTCCACAATAGGAAGACTTGTGATTTTCCTTCATTGACTTCTGTTTTGTTTTCACACAGGAGGCATAGATGTGATCTTTGTTCTGCAAGGGGATCCCAGCCTGTTTGTGGCTTCAGCTGCCCGTTGTCTTCTGGTGGACTTGCTCACCCACTCTGTAGGGCCTGAACTGATTGTACCTCTCGATGCCAAGGACTGCGACTGGCCAGCGTGTGCCCACGTGATTATAAAGCATATAGAAGATTCTCTTCAGTCCAACTCTGCCTCTCACGTCAAGCAGTCATTAAAACTGTTAACTAGTCTGTTTGGCAGTTGTCATGCTCCTTGGACTAAAGTGCTTTGGTTAGGCGTTGCAAAGCAAGTAGAATCCTTCTTGACAGAAGATTCTGTTCAAGCACAACACATACTGGTGAATCTTCTTCTAAACATGGCAAGGTGAAGATCTTGGATCCAGTGATGAGAAATACCATTTGTGTTAGTAGGACATATGACTTACTGTTCTTTCTTCTCAGGTCTCCTGTGTTTCGTGAAGACAGTTTTTGGGCATTAGTGACATCTGCTCTGGAACACTTAACCCCAGAACAATCAGGTGCTTTGGCAGTGGGAATTCTGAAGATCTACCCATGGTAGGAGTTGCTGCTATGAATTTTTTTCACTCTGCAAATGCTACCAACATCTCTGCTCGTTTCTGAGAGTTGTTTTATTCACCGCACTGCATTTTCCACTGTATTGCTTAATACAGTGGACTGATTGGTGAGAACCATGCAAATAGCTAACAAACTTTGGACACTGCTATTAGAATAATTGTTTCAAAGACAGAAATGAAAAGAGCCAGCGTCATGTTCACACACATGCCCTTTTGTATCTTACCTACAGACAGCAATTTCGGACAGAAAATCAAAGCTCCTTTAACTTTTTAAGGCCAAGGTTGTTTAAGATGGATATTTTGACTGTCAAATTTAGAAGTATTTGGTTACTTTTCACATGAGCACTAACAAGTGTAACAACTTGAACCACTGTCCAACAGAAGTGTGCATCTTGCACACATCGTGCATCTCTGTCAACAGTAGGAAAACTTAATTTGGAAGGAAGCAGTATAGGTGATCTAATCTGACTTCTTATACATTGCAGGACTGCATTTAGAGATGGATTGGGTTGCTCAGGGCCTTCACCAATCCAGTTTCAAATATCCCAAAGGGTGGGGATTCCATAGCTGCTCTGGGAAACCAGTTCCAGTTCTTTACAGTCTCACTATGAAAAGTATTTTCCCATGTATCCAGTTGGACTCTGCCTTATTGCTGTTTAAGGTGTTGCCTCATCTGTTGTGCACCTGAGAAATCCAGTGGCATCTTCTCCCTTTAGATGGTGAAAAAGCGTGGAGAAATCATCATACGTTGAATGACTATAGCACATAGATACTTACTTTCAGACTAATTAATACGTGTGTCTTACTGGGATACATATATATATATATTTTAATGCAATAAGTGCCTGTCTAAACTCTCTTCTTACACAAGTTTTCACTCTTTGCTGCTGGATGAGGCTGTTTGTCAATTCCAGAACCATTTCTCTCTTTCAGTTAGCCAGGGAGAATCAGAAGAACGCTCGACTTGTGACAGTAATTTCATTTCTGTCCTGTTGCTGGCTTTTTTACAAAAGTGTGTGAAAATCACTGGTCTGCTCAGCATTTGGGGATAGATGTTTGGGGTAGAGTTGACGTTTTCTTGTTTTGGTAATTGCTGTTTCTTCCTTGAAGCCCACAGGTTGTGACAGTTAAAGCACTGACTGTTCTCTTTCAACCATTGGAGTGTATTTTGAGAGCAGCCTCCGTGGAATGTTCAGGTAGTATTGCAATAGAAAAGTTAGAGGCTATTCTGTTTACCAGTGTTTTAAGTGCCTGGTTCAGAAAAACTGGAGAAAGATTAAAAGAAAAAGTCAAGGACAGCAGCAATGTTTGTGGTAAAGTGCAGCGTCCTGCTGACGGTTGCGTTTGAAGGGATCTTCATACTGCATCACCTCAAAATAGTAGCTCAGAAGTCAAGTTTGGAGATCACTATCCTTTGTAATCACTAACAGCTTGAGTTTTTCCCTTCTTTGATTCCCTAGGTTTGCTGTATGAGTCAGTTAGTGATCCCTCTGCTGTTGAAAGCCTTCTATCCTCCAAGTCATCTTGTGCTAGTTTTCTGTGCCAGACCCTTGCTCATCTGGGGGAGCTGCTCTCTGTGGAAAAAGTGAGTTCTGCTAGTTAGAAAATCCAGCAGGATACATTCCCAATAGGATAACAGAAGAATATTAAGTCTTGTAAACAAGGACCATACTTGGTTTTACATCTACCTTCACAGGCTTAGTTGCCATACATTATATCCACTGCAAGTATTGATCCAGTGAAAAACATAAATAGAGTTGCTTTCCCAAGTAGTGAAAAGCATCTCCTCCCATTTATGCAATGATTCACTGGGGGAGAGGGAGGTTACTTGTTAGCAGTTATTAGCATTATGTTACCGTAAGGACAATGGAAGTTGCAGCTTTTGCTGTGTCTCTACCAGAAACTTGCTCTGTATGTATGCTTGAAACATTTGATGGAAGCTTGTTGTGCTTTTTTTCCCTCCCATTAGGTTTTTTTGCCCAGGAATTTACCCTATACATCTTTGCTCTGTTCTGTCATGACTACATTACTGTTCTGTAAAGGCCTCCTGATTCCAGCTACTCCTCTGGGAAGCAAGATTAGCCAAATCTTGGCAGGTTGCTTCCGAGTACAGAAGTCAGCTCTTGATGTCCTTGCAGCATTTCCTAACTGCAACTGTGAGTTAAACTTTGCACTTAAATTTTAATTTTGGAAATTACCATTCTGTATTTGAAGACTGTGCTTGCTTTCTTCTGTAAAACAGTTTTATAATCCTCTTTCATTCCATGTTTGAAGAGTTGAATTATTCCCTTTTTCTTAATGTTGGTTCTTGAGCTTTTGTTTTGCTTTGTTTTTAAACGTTTCAGGCACTGACACAACTATGAGAAGTTTGTTTGACGTCCTTCTGATATACCTGGAGAGTCCAAACACTCCTCCTACTGTGAGTATAGAACTAAAGAAGGCTCCAAATCTACTGGCTTGCCCAGTGGAACATACTTCTGACAAACAGGCTGACAACAGGTGTTTCTTAGCAGTTAGTATAAGAATATCTAGAAGGCTTCTTCTGAGGGACTTGCAGGAAATAGCTAAAATGGTAATGAGCAAGTAGTTGATCAGTAAATCAGATATTCTTGAAAATATAGGAGCCATCATGTCTGACTGTAGAGCCAATATAATCCACTTGACATTGCTATTAAGTAATAAAATCTTTTACAGTAACACTTTTGTTTTCTTGCTTTCTTTTGTCCAAGTGACTCAGGTGACAGCTGCAAGTGAAAAGCTGGAGACACTCACAATGTTTTAAAGTTGAGAACAGTTGGCTAGAAATGTGGCATAAGCACTATTCATTTGTGGCTTATTTTATAGAATGAAAGTGCATGCACTAATTTCTTCTGACAACTTCACTGTAATTTTGAGTTAAAAAAAAATAAAATTTGTCTAGCATAAAGACAAAAACTCCTTCTGCAATAAAGTACATCTGCTTTGTATTTCTTCAGGTTCTGAAGAAATCATTTAAAGCTTTGTCCAAGTGGTTGAGGAGCTCGTCAGGAGTATCCTTCTTCAAAAATAAGCAACAAGCTGACAAGATTGTGCGAGGTAACAAAGCTATCGAAGTTGGACAAACAGCAACTGGTGGCACATCTGAAATGTGCTCTCACCTTCTTTTTCCACTTAAAGCAGTTAGGATTTGTTTCCAGTTGTGCTGAATTTAGTTGTATCTGCTCATACGGTGCTTTGAGGAACTGTGAGAGGAAAAGTCAACAAAAGGGATCACATCAGAAAACAGTGCAGAGACTGCACAGTGGTTTGGTTTGTTACCTTTCATCTCAATTCCTCCCTCCTGCTTGGCTTTCACAGAGGTGTTCCTGGTGCTGCAGAAGCGTTTGTGCAGTCCTTGCTGGGAAGTACGAGACTCTTCTCTGGAGTTCTTCACCAGCTTGATAAGAACCCTGGCAGGTATGTGCAGAGATTTAATGGTTCAGATTGGAGGACCGTTTCTTGTCATGTTGTGAAAGTCAGTCAGGCCTGTGGAGCATCCTCTGACCTGTAACTGCAGGGGGAAGGAAGGAAAAGATAAGTTGAGATTTTTACTTTCAGGTCACAGTCAAAATCTGTCAAAAAGATTCATAAACATACGCCACTATTCTGTTGAATTTGAGTTGCTGTGTCCTCCTTAATGACAGCTTTAGCAAATTAAACTATGTTGTGTGGCTTGACAGCAGTAAGGGATGACCTTTTTTTTCTTTCTCCCTTAAACAAAAATTGCTTGATGGGGGTGAAACCACACTCCGATTTACCTGGAGCAAATTATTTCTCACCAATAGAAACAACTGTAAATGCATTTTTCCAAACTCTAGTGTCAAACACGGCACGGCTGGAATTCACCAAGCTGCTGCAAAGTGAGGAGCCTGCCAGAAAGTGTCCGTGCTCCTGTGAGCAGCAGCTCCATCACTGTCAGCTGCCCTGCAGTCAGCGATCATCCTCGTATGACACAAATCACTGTTTGCATTGGAAACGAGTTCGTGCTCTGAGAGAATAAAGCCTCACTTCTTTGCATTGCTGTCTCGTTTACAGACCGTAGGGATTTCAGGAAGTTTCTCCTGTTTTCGGAGATGCCAAAGCGTATAGAAAACCTTCTTGAGGATCCAGAGAGCTACGTGCGAGCGAGCGCTGTGACGGCTATGGGACAGCTGGCCTACATTATTTATGTCTTTGTTCCACAGTCTCGTGTTGCAGGGAGCCGGTATAATAAAGAGGTACGGCTTTGTGTGATCCACTGCAGACACGAGCAGAACTACACATTGTTCCCCTGTTTTTTTGTTGTGCTTTTTTGTCTGTTTGTAATGTTCCTTTCCTCCTTTGTCTTTTTACACTTAGAAAACTGCGGCAAAGCTTCAGGAAGTCTTGTCCACAGACCCAGAGGTCTTTCCTAGGAGAGCTGTGATGAGCGTCTTCACCATGTGGGTGAAAGAGAGCTGCACGGGTAAACCGGAGGAGACAGAGCAGTTTGTCACTGCGGTGGTCCAGACTGCAGCACGTGACTTAGACTGGGAAGTCAAACTTGGTTGTTTGGAACTGGTTCAAATTTTCTGTACCTATATGTTTTGCCAACTTGGCCTTCCTGAATGCTATTATGCTCCTGTCTCATCTGCAGTCACTAGTTCCGTTCATGAGAACAAGCCACTGCAGATGTTTTGCCGAGCAAACCTGTTCAGCTTCTTGTTTCGGTCTTTGTGTGACTGTGACAAGCCAGTGGCTCAGAAAGCCTGTGATATATTGCTTTCCTTAAAATCTCAGTTCTATCAGGGTAGCACCACAGATTCACAAGGGACTGGAGACTTACCTGCAGGACATGGCATTCATTGGTTACAAAAGACACTAAGGCAGGGTGCTCTGGTCCAGAACTTCCCCACAGGTGATGGTAGTGAAGTGGACTTTCAAGATCCAGAGAGCATGATGTTAGCTTTGGGAACAATAAACCTAGTGGAACTACACAGTGACCTAAATAAAGGTAGTGACTATGTGGAGAAAAGCCCCCAGTCCCTCTTAGAAGACATCCTTGCTACTGTGGGGACCGTAGAGGAGAATGAGGCTGACTGCTACTAAAGACATCTTTTGCTTTGAGGGAACAGTACTTACACGGGTTTCTTGTGAAGAGAATTTTTGCTACCAAAGTGCTATAAGAGAAGATAGTAGGAAGTGTTACTCTGAACAGAAAAAAAGGAATAGTTTTGTTAGCTGTTAACAGAGAGACTTTGTTTTAATACTGATGGCTTCTCTTATTTTTAAGTATATTCTCTGATAAACTGATCTGCCTGTTTTATTTTTCTAAGTAAATAAAGAAAGGCATTTCTTCTGTTTTTAACGTGTAAGTATGTTAAGAAAGCAGCAGAGCCTGCCTACATAAGGAAACATTAAAAAAGAAAAAAAAAGGTGACTGAAAGCAAGCTATTGTGTGCTTCTAGAAATAAATTCACTACCTGCAACACACTGGACTGAGCTGTCAGTATACGAGTGCTTTTGCGACTTTGCATCATGAAAACAGTGGTCCTTCCATAAACTCTGTGTTCCTGCCATCCAAGGACTCTGGGGATGTAAAGAGAGAGGTGGGCTGCTGGGCAGAGGAGGAAGCTGCACGCTGCCTTTCTGCGATGAGTTTTTGTGGGAACTGCAGCTTTTGCATCATATCAGCGCGGGAGCTGCGCAGCCCCTGCAGGAGGCAGATTTCCCCATACAGATGCTACAGATGATTTCAGCAAAGGCTGTGGCCAGGCATGGGGCTTGTGTCGTGTCAAAGGCACCAGTGCTCAGCTCTGTCAGATACTTTAATGCAGCCTGTGGTAGCAGGTAGAAGGCAGCAGCTACACAAGTGATAACAACAGGGCATCACAGATGAGAAAAACCCACATCTCTGAGAGCAAGCACTGTGAACAAGGAAGATTACAAAGCTCTGTTTATCTGAACAGGGGCAGTGCGAGTTCTGTTGCCTGCTCTGTACACAGGTATGAAATTCCAAGAATCATTTTCAACACATTTCAACAAAGCACTGGAAAAAGGATTTGTCCTCTCACTGCTCAGACGTAGCAAAGAATGTTTGGCTCAGCCCTGTGCTAGTAACGGCTTTGTGAAAGCTGCCAAAAGAATAGTTGTTAGTTGTCTTTTAATACATTGGACATTTAAAATTCAAAGAGCAGTCTTTGCTTAGTTATGCTCATTGTATGAGTGAAGTAAAAAATGAGCCATAAGTGTCTGAAGCTGCTGCTTGAGCCTTAGAGAGGTGGTCTGTGAGCGCAGACCAACTCATGCACACCTTAGAAATTTCTTTTGTCCATCTCATAAAATTTGCTCCACCTTTCAACACAAGCTCATCAAGGCTTTTAAAACCACCACGTGTTACAGAGGAAACTCATCAGCCGGCTTCACCACAGTTCTCAGCAATTAACAATGATAAAATATATCAGCAGCCACACCCCTGTGCTGTGTCATTTCCCTCCAGCACTGTGGGTTTTGTCCTCTGCTGAGAAACAAAGCACTGCTAAGTGTAGCACAGCCAGACCTCAGACCTCGGTGGCAGAGCTGCTCCTCTGTCTGCAGGACAGACTGTGCTCATAACCCATCTTTCAAACGAGCTGAGTGCCCTTGCAGAGGGGGATGGCACGACGCTGGTGATGTTTCATGCATTGTCTCTGCCCGGTGACAGTGGTTCTGGTGCTCCCATTTGGGGGTCACTTCCTGGGTCAGGTGTAAAGTAACACTGGGATCTTAAAGAGGGCTGTGGTGGGGCTGCTCACCTTCACACCTGTGAGCCGTGCTGTACAAACACTCTTTATGGGGCTGGTCACACAATTACAACTCCTGTTATGTGTCAACAATAAAGCAGCAGCTAAAGGAAGAACTGACAGCAGTTGCTAAGTGACAGCATCCATATAGGCTTGAACAGCCATGGGATGGGCGCAGGGAGCTGCACAGCAATCCCACTTTGTCCATATAATTAAGGGAAAAAACACTTCTCAGTACCATCCAATATCCTTAGCTGATGCACCCAAACCAGCAGCACCAAATGTTCACTGCTGCTCGCTCTTCCCACCACTTCCTCCCCAGTGAACTGGTGCACAGGACAACACCACGACATTTCTGGCTGAACAGCCCATTCTGATCAACAGGAAACAATGACAGTGTTGGCACTGATGGTTATTGGAAAAATCAGCAGCAACAAAACCCAGCAGAAATCCACCCATCAGCTTTCCAAGCAAACCCATGGCTATGATTAACACTGAGCAGAGCTGTTGTATTGGAAAAATACGGTAACTTTTTCAGAGCTTCAAACAACGTACGTCCTCATAAAGAAAGCATTTAAACTTAGTTGACTAAAATGGTGACCGAGCTGAGGAGCCTACAGACCTGCAGGGCACGAAGGTTCACCTGCTCCTGAACAGATTTGGGAGCAAGGAGACCATGAGCACTGCTTTGCCTGGGTGGAGAACTGCTCATCCCCAAAGAAGAGAGACTAATGGGCACCACTGGCAACTCGGTGCCCCCAGGCAAGGTACACTTTGAAAAGAGAAAAACATCAGCAGTGCAAGCAGGCTCTGTACAAACTCTTGCTCACCCTGCATGCTATCACACACTGCAGAAGCAGTCCGAGGCTGTGTTGGTAACAGAGACAAAGGGACTGATCCATCAGCACCCTGTGAACAGCAGGAAGTGACCAGGAAGTGTCACCACCCAGCTGCAAAGGGAGGATCACAAACACCGCTCAGCTGCCAGAGTGCACACAGTACAGACATGAAGGACCTCCTCTGCCCACCAATGCAGCGTGGAGAACCTGTCAGCACATGGCCCACCTTCACTGCAAGCCACTGCTGAACCAAACGATGCCCTTTTCTAGTGGATTCCCTTCCAGCTCCGTCCACATAACTCTCAATTTCCAGTGCCGGTAGGAGCTGCCCTGACCCTGCTGCCAGCTCTCACAGCACAGAGCTCATGCCAGCACAATCAGAGCTCATCCAGACAGATAAAGCCAGCTTGGCTGTTGCCTTTGGTCACTGCCCCCATGTTATTATATCAAACACTTCCCTTCTGCACATTCCTCCAACGCAAAATGTGAATTTCACATTTTACTCTCTATTCCATCCAGAAATGCAGCCAGCTAACTACATTCTCATAGCTCTTCTCCTTATTGCTCACATTTCTTCTCAACAGCCAGGACAACGTGCCCTGTCCTGGCACCAAAGCACTATGAATCATACAGCACAAACACAACACTGCAGCGCAGACAAAGGTCTGATCCTCAGCAGCACTAAATCAGCACAGAGGTGCAGTGTGGCCAAGCGAGAGGCACATCCCCAGAGAGTGCTGCAGCACAGCTTTGCCCCGCTGGTGCTACAGATATGGCATCATGGAAAGAAGAACAGAGCCCTCCAGCCTCTCCA